AAAACTTTGGGAGCGATTTTTGTTCCACTCACACAAAAAAGTGTGTAAATTGTCGTCACGTAGTAATAAGCTATAACTGATATACAGGTAAGCATTCAAATAAAACCTCAAAGACATTTGTAATCATATCAACCGTTACAGTTTTGTTATTTTCTCATCATTAATAATTATCAACAAATCATGTGGAATAACCCGCGGCTGAACGTATCCAAAATTCATATAAGCTCTCTGTTTTAAATAAGTCATTATAAAAGTGCAGTCTTAAAACCATAGTTTCAATGTAATTGGAGATGAGGAAAAACAGCATTTCTCAAATTGTCCGGTAGCATGTAATGCACATGAACACTAGTGTGTTCCAAATTAAGATTAAGTTCAGGACGTATTTGAATTTGGAATCAGGATGAACATATGACTTTGATTTCTTTATTTTACAAACAATTTTACTGTTTTCTTTATTTGAATAAGCCAAATTTCACTTTCTTATAGACTTTGTAATTCTGATTTGCCTTGAAAGATGACCAGAAGGTTTCAATATTATGAAATAATGCACGGAGGGAAACATATTAAGGTCTTCCTCAGTAAAGCAGAAAAGTCGCCACAAAGCCTTTTAAAGCGTTGATGTGACGTAAAATAAGGCTATATGTGAAAAAAAATTACAGAAATTTTGTTATGTTGTCGTTTTTTTGCACAAATCGGATTACTGTATATCTTAGTCACAGAAGTTAAAAATAGAACTGACAATGCGTAATGTTTTCAAATATTCCCAGAAATAAATAAAAAGATCTTGAGCTTTTATGTGTATGGCTTTTTGAGACGGGACTAAAACAACATTGTTAATCGCCTTCCGCGTAGCGGAAAGGGGATTATAGGAATGGACTCCGTCTGTCAGTCCGTCCGTCCGTAACACCTTCGTGTCCGCTCCATAACTTTTTAAACTCTGAAATTTTTTTGAAATAACTTGGCACAAGTGATCACTATAATGAGACAATATGCAGAGTGCAATAATTGGGTTGCTACCCCCAAGGTCAAGGTCACACTTTAAGGTCATATGTTAAAAGTCTTCATTTAATAATAAAAAGTCTACATTTCGTGTCCGCTCCATAACTTTTTTAACGCTGTAAAGTTTTGAAATAACTTGACACAACGGATCACCATTATGACACGACGTGCAGTAAGCAATAATTGGATTGCTACACACAAGGTCAAGGTCACACTTTAAGGTCAAATGTTAAAAAGTCTACATTTCGTGTCCGCTCCAACATTTTAACCGCTGAAATTTAAAAAAAAATATCTTGGCACAATTGATTACCAGTATAAGAACATGTGCAGAACGCACACTTTGGGTTGCTACACCAAAGGTCAAGGTCAAATGTATAAAAATCTGCATTTCGTGTCCCCTCAATAACTTTTAAACCTATGAAATTTTGTTTGAATAGCTTGGCACAATTGATCACCATTATGAGACGATGTGCAGATCGCAATAATTGAATTGCTACCCCAAAGGTCAGGGTCACACTTACAGTTCATATGTTAGAAAGTCTACATTTCGCGTCTGTCTCTAACTTTTAAACCTCTGAAATGTTTTTAAGATAAATTGGCAGAAATGATCAACATTATGACACCATTGGCAGAGCACAATAAGCAAGTCACAACCCTGAAGGTCAGGGTCACACTTAACGGTCCAATGTAAAAACTTTTTTTTCATGTCCGCTCTATAACTTATTGACAATTCAAAGGTTTTGAAAATACTTAGCACAAATGATCCCAACCACGACACAATCTATAGACCTCAACATCCAGGTCGCTGCAACCAAGGTCAAGGTTATATGTTCTCCATAACTTTTTGACTTTATGGAAGATTTGAAATAACTTGGCACAAATAATCGCCATCGTGTGACTATGTGCTTATGATATGCATGACACAACAGCAAGGTCATGGTTGGTAAAAAGTCAAGAAGTACACATTCTTGTTTCTTGCGAAGCCCCGGAGTAAACTTTCTTTACACAGTGTAAATATAGGAAAAACATGAAAATATTCTTCTCAATAACTGCTGGACCTAGTAAAGAATACATACTATTAAATTTGCTTAAATCACGACCTTGTGGTCAAATTCATTTATGCCAGGGGTCACTTCAATTTACATATAGGATAAGCTAAAAATATAACTTCTCCCAAACCGATGCCTATAGCTAATTATTTCTGTTCTAGCCTTGTATAGATCAGTACAAAATTTATTCAAATGAAAATTTAACCCACCCCTAGGGTCAACTTATTTCATATGGAGACACATAGGAAAACTTTTTAAAATCATACTTCTTTCCAAAACCAAATGCCCAGATCTTAGATTTTGGGTAAAAAGCATTGTCAAAAAAACCTTAATTTATTTTTCAAATCTTGACAATCTGGTCAAAGTTGACCTAACCCTAGGAGTCATTTTACTTTGTGTTATAAAGAAAATGCTTTGAAAACTTTCTTCTCCATTAATAAAATGCTTTGATATTTAAGTGTGACGCATTCATTTTATGACCATATCAATTTATGTCACGATAAATCATATAATAGTAATAATACATAACTTCTAAGCTTGGTAAAGTCATGATCCGCTTGATTATACATGTAATTACCTTTCCCAAGGATCAATTGATTTACATAGTCTAACTTATAAATAAAATCCTTTATAAAATCATCCCTTTAACCCCATTGTTTAGAGCATGTGAAACAATTTCTAGAAGACTTTTACCATGTTTCTTCAAATCATGAAAGGGCCGGGTCTGGGTTATACGCCAATTTCAATACTTCTTTGTTGATAGCTTGAAGGTTGGTTGAACTATCTGACTTTCATGGATAAATAACCAGAAGAGTAATGACCAATTTCTACTAAGCTACGGTACTAACTTTTTGACAGACAAATGACCGTAAAACTCAATGTCCGAGATCAATTGTTGTCTGTAGATCAATCTTGAGACGCCTGGATTTCACATCCGACGCTCTCCGTAAAGTGCTAAGTTTGCAGGCATCAAACAATGATCATGAGTCTGGATTAAAACAATAGCCGGTTGAACCCGGTGATGCTCCCCGACTAGGTTTTGGACAAACGCCCGGCGACTATATGCTCCCCCATAATTTTTCGGGGAGCATAAAAATGGCCCTGCCTAGCTGTCGATTTTTATATAAAAAACTTTTTAAGTCAGAAACCACAATGCAAGACCATTTGGTTGGAAGAATTGCCTTTTGTTCCTCTTTGATTGTTCAAGTCATGGCCCCACTAGTATAGTGGGGGCCTAGAATTTAAGACCTTGTGACCTACTTTCTTGTTTTTGAAGCTAAAGAAATTTGGATAACAGATACAATATATCATGCAGCTGACCTTAATCTGTTCCAGTGATCTCTTTGTATTTTGATTGTAAAATTTCAGATGCAGAATTATACACTGAGATCAGTTGACCTAGAATTTTATCTAATGCCAGCTACAACCAAAAAGTTTGAACTCAACAATAAATTCGATTGTCATTAAAACTTGATATTGGTTGACCTAGAATTTGAACCAGTGACCTTTTTATTTCTCGTTTTAGCTGCAAAGTCTTATATGTTTACCCTATGTACAGTTTTAAACATTTGATAATGTTTATATACATTTCTACCTAAGACTGCCTTTTACATATTATTATCACCATTAATTATCCTTTCCAAACATAACAACATTCACATTTGACATGACCTTTATCTTTGTATAGCAGTTTGAAAAAAGCAAATGCATGATGCAAATTCTTGAAATAAATTTATTCATCTAATTTCAAAATATTGCCTGTTATCTGTGTTGATAATTTGCTAGAATTAAATGTGACTTCTTTTAATGTTACTTTTTTTTCAATTTGTTACCATGGCATAATGCACAGATTATTTATCTATAAGTTTGTGTCATTCTTAACAACATGCTTAAAATGCTAAAAGTTGAAAATGTCATACGTTTCATGTGTGTCTTTCATTTTACTTTCCCGTTGCCATGGCAACAGAACATGTTTAATATTGATAAACAAAATATCAGTCTGAGTTTCTTAATTATTTATAACTTTAGGTACATGCCAAAGTGCAATACATGTTGACTATTCATAGTTTAAATTATCATAACAAACCAGTTAACAAAATACTGAGACTTAGTTTTCGTTACCCCACCCACTTTAAGAATATCAGAATCCACATTCTTTTACAATAAAAATAAAAAATAAGGGTGATATTAGTATGATCTTGTTCAAGTCTTTGTAGTATATGGTAAAAATATTCATTTACACCGCTATGCCTTAGCTGGTAGGAAAAAATGTCAGTCCCATATCAATTTTTGATAATTTTTTCATGCATTTTTTAGCAATTTATCTATGAAATTCAGAGAATATGAAAAAAATAATGGAAATGCCTCCATTTTCATATTGTTCCAATAGGATGTGAAGTTTTTACATCACCTGTACCAAAATAAATACAAAAAAGAACTAATTTTATCATATAAATTGCGTATAAGCCATTTTTCAATAATTTAGCGGCCATCTTGGCGACCATCTTGGATTTCTCAAAACGTACCATGATTTGACATGTCTACCCAAAATTTTTGTAAACTTCAAACATTTAGCTTTACATTGGTATAACATTTATCTATGGACCTTTTTTGCACACAAAAGGTCCTCAGGGAATGTACTAAGATGTAAATATGTCAAATATCAGTTACCCTTGCATTAAAATTGTTTATTTGGACGTCTGATTAGCGTCAAAATGTATCAAAATGGTCATTTTTGTTGATTTTTCTCTGGTAATATCACTTTCATTTCTTAATTGTATGTATAGACTTTTTCCTTGTTTCTTTGTCCAATATCTATAAGGTATTTACACCTCGCTTACTCTTATGCGACATTTTAGTAAGGTTAATCACAAATAATCAATGCGATTTCTGGATGTTTTTGAGATATCAAAAATTAATGTTTTAAATGTACATGTATATCAATAAACTTACCTGTTTTTGAAGCTCTCCACTCCTTGTTTTGAAATAAAACATTAAACAAATCATTTGATAAACATGCTAGCAACAACTTATATAATAAACTACATATTTTAAAAAGAATTTATTTTTTGGTAGTGTACAATCAGATCAATATATTCAAACTGCATATCAAATTTAACAAAAGAATTGAATGCATAACTGGTAACGCTATTTAAATTTGATATTTGCATGGAGCTCTATAATTAAATTCCCTTTAAACTTTTAAACATATATTAAAAATCAAATGTAAATTATTTGTGCATTTTGTACAAGTCGTTACCTATAAGGATGATAGTAGTTATATAACAGTGATAGAGTTAGTGAATAACTACAAATATCAATTCGATAATTATATTAATTCTATCCGGACTTGCGATGATTTCGACCAACTTGTTTGTCTAATTTGGGAACATCAAAACTTTACTCTGTGTAAGAATGAACTTAAACCTGGCAATAATTATTTAGCTGTGATGGTTGTTTTTGCAGTTTACTCCCGCAGTAAAGCCATATCGAATTTACCAGAGCACAGTTCAGCCACCGCATCGTTCTTGTGCAGACTGTTAATCAGATAATCAGTCTGGTCCAGTACTTGTGCCTTCACTTTCGCAAGGAACTGATAATACTTCTGCATATGAAAGAGCAGAGGTACAATACGTACAATACGAATGACCGTAGAAAGGATTTCATGATCAATCACAACGAAGGTGACATGCGCCGTCAGGGAATCGAACCCGCGTCGCTCGATCCACAACTCAACGCTCTACCAGCATATATATCTAAATGCATATCGCTCTTTTCATTTCAGAGTCCAATTATCTATATATCACATGCATATCTTACTCAATGTTGCCTTATTTTTCTTTATATGCTAAAAAAGGTTTAGGCGAATTCCTTATTGTACTTGAAATAACACACCACATTGTTAAGAAAAATACTGATACTATCAAACACGTACACAGGTGATAGCGCCTCGTCCAATATAAGTTTGACAACTGTGTACTCGTGTAATAGAATTCAGTATTGTATAATATTAAATCTCATAAGTAAGTAAGCCGTACATGTACATCAAATCACACTAGCAGCATTTTCAATTTTGTCGTTATTTTTGCGTTCTCTGGGGAGTCATTTTTCCTCTGTTTAATATATAGTATTTTCAAAACTGAATTCCAAAGCTTTATAAAGCAGTTTTAAGTCATATGTCACTTGCACGAGAATACAGATGAAATTGTAGAAATTTAAAATGTCGTCGCCACCTTTTTAATGACATTGTATCTCTTTGAAGCATATAAGGGACAGTAAAACTTCTTTTGCCATTTTGATTTCTACAATTATAAACTTGGTCTAGATTTTTACAATGTTATTATTAACAACACTATTTTGTGTTAAGTATGGGAAAGATGATTTCCATAACAAAGGGAGACAAATCCACTGTGTGAATTTTTATTGTGAGTGATGCGTCTCCCTTTGCATATGCCATATTATCGAAGAATGTATGTACTATCACGTTTTATTACGACTAACATTAAAGTATATAACAACAATTTTCTTGAGAATTTAAATGTATACATATAACGTGCTACTATATAGTCTCCTGGCATGACTCGTGATTTTGTCAATATAGAAAAGAAAATAACCGGACCGCGGTGTAAAACTGCCAAAAATAGTTTATTAGTATTTTGGGTT